GGGGTCCTGGGGGTCCGCGCTGCTCCCTGGGGCCGTTTGGAGGCGCGCTTACGGGGGCGCTGTGACTCGGCGGCTCTCTATCACAACAGCGATAAGGCATCTCTATGGTTCCCCCATTTCCGCCCATTGTCCGCAGCGGGCGCTGCGGAAAGCGGCCGTTTCCTCCCCGAGCCGGAAGTGCCGAAAGGGGGAGGTGGGGTTGCGGCGGTTTCCGATTGGCTGCCGCGGTGGGCGTGGGCGGCGCTCACGTGATGCTGCCGCGCAGCTGATTGGCGGAGAGCTGTGCTCACGTGGCCGCCAGGCGCGGGAGCGTCACGTGCTTCCGGCTCGCTCCCCCGTGGCGCCCCACGTGCTTCACACCCACGTGGCCGCGGGGCGGGCGGGGGTCTTTGTGATGAATTTTGGGTTGAATTCAGGCGGATTTGGGTTCTGCCGCCCCGCAGGCAGCGCCGGGCCGTTCTTCCAATGGTCGAGGGCGGTGAGGATCCGAACCAACCTGGACCTGCTGCTGGATTGGCTGCAGGCCGTGGGGCTGGGGGACATCGCCGCCGAGTTCTTCCGCAAACTCTCGGCCACCGCCAACCTGCTGTGCACCCCGCGCAGCAGCCTCAGCAAGGTGGGCTTCGGGGGGGTCCGGGGGGGGGTCTGGGGGCTCACACTGAGCCGCCCCCCTCCCCCCTTAGGCCACGTGGGCGCGGCTGAGGGCTGAGTACCCGGCGCTGAGCCCGGCGCAGCTGCACCACGTGCTGCGGCACTACCAGCTGGGCCCGGGGCAGGGCTACCCCGAGGGGTGGAGCCCCCCGCCCGAAGAACGCGACGCCGTGGCTTCCGGTGGGTCCCGGGAATTCCTACCGCCTCTCCTCCTCCCGCCCTTCCTCCTCCCCCCTTCCCCTCGTCCTCTTCGTCCTCGCCTTCCTCCTGTTCTTCCGTTCCTTCCTTCCTTCTGCTCTTCCCCCTCTTCCCCCTTTCATTCTCTTCCTTCTTCTTTCTTCCCTTCTCTCTCCCTTCTTCTTTTTCTTCCCCCTCCCTTTTCTCCTTCCTCCTCTTCTTCCTCTTTCCTTCCTCCTCCCTTCTCACCTTCCCCCCACTTTTCTTCCTTCCTTCTTCTTTCCTTTCCCTCTTCCTTTTCCCCTTCTGCCCCTTTTGCTTCTCCTCCCTCTCTCCCTTCTATTCTTCCTATTCGTCCTTCCCTTCCTTCCTTTCCTTCTCTTCCCCACATCCCCCCGGACCCCCCCACGCCCCTCAACCCCCTTCCCCCCCCCGCCCAGGCGATATCTTCGAGAGCTTTTCGGACCACCCCCCCCTCCTGCTGCCCACCGACGGCTTCCAGCTGCGCCTTGGGGAGGCGGTGACGGACTCCGGCCTGCAGGCGGCGCTGTTCCGAATCCGCAGGATGCTGTGGGAACGCGAGGAGGGGGCGCTGCCCGCCAACCTCAGCGCCATGGGGCGGGACGGGGGGGTCTGAGGGGGGGGGGCGGGGGTCCTCCCGAT